AAAAAAAAAAAAAAAAAAATGCAAGGACAGCTTGGGCTACATAGTGAGTTTAAGACCAGGCTCAATTATATAACAAGACCTGTCTCAAAAAGACAAAGACAAAAACAAAGCAGAAATTACATTCATAGTTAAAGATCCTCTGTGGCCTGAGAGCGTAGCTTAGCATGTTTGAGATCCTGGATTCAATCCCCAGCACCAAACATATGAAACAAAACCTTTGAAAAAGAACTTCAGGGCCTGACAGTTTCACTAGCAAACTCCACCAAACATGTAAAAAGAAGTTACACCCGGGCCGGGGATTTGGTTCAGTGGTTCCGCTGCCTGCCTCATAAGTGCAAGGGCCTGAGTTCGATCACTGATACCAATAAAAAAAAAAAAAAAAAGAAGAAGAAGAAGAAGTAACACGAACTCTACACCATCTCTCCCAGAGATAAAAGAAGGAACACTGCCTAACTCATTTTCTATGGTCAGCATGCATGATCCTGATTTCAAAACCAGGCAAAAACAGTACAAGCAGAAAAATAAACCAAAAACCCCTACAAGGGCAGAGGGTGTAGGTGAGTGGGAGAGTGCCTTCCCAGGGTGCAGAAGGCTGGTTCAATGTCAGCACCACAAAAACAAAACCCTACAGACCAATGGATGTCTTATGAACACATAAACAAACATCTCAACAAAATATTAACAAATTATATCCAGCAATATACACCACAAGCAAGTGAAGTTTATTCCAGAAATGCAAGGCTGATTCAATATTCAAAAATCAATCAATATAATGCATTTACTAGTAATCTTAAGAAAAACTACATCGATCATACAAATTGCTACAGGAAAAAAAATTATAAAATTCAATACCCAGAAGTGGTAAAAACTCTCAGCAAACTAGTAGGAGACCTTCTTTAATCTGATAAGCAACAGTTACCAAAAGCCCTACAGATAATATCAGATTTAATGGTGAAAAACTGAAATTAAAAAAAGGAAAAACTGAACGATTTCTCCCTAAGTCTAAGACAAGGCGTGCGTTTTCACCACTTCTAATTCAATTAACATTGTATTGAAAATCCTAGCTAGTGCAACAAGGCAACAGAAAAGGAAATAAAGGCACTGATTGAAAAGGAAGAAATAAAACTCTTATTTGCATAGAATATAATTATCTGCATATAAAATCCCAAAGAATCTACCAAAAAAATCTGCTAGAACCAACAAGTGAGTTTAGCAGTTACAAGGTCAGCACAAACACAATCATATTTTTAATATACTAGCAACAAAGAATTAAGATTCCTCCAACGTTTTAAAAAATATCATTCAAGCAGCTCCTACGTTTTAAAATATTTAGGTACAAATGTAACAAAATATATACTGGGGCTACCTGTTGACTATATTGAGTTAAATGTACCTGGTTTGGGTTCTTTCTTTCTTTTTTACTTTTTTAATGTGGCTGCTGTGAATTTTAAAATTTTCTATGTGGGTCACGTTGTATTTACGGAGGGCAATAATCTAGGGTTTCTAGGGAGAGGAGTCAAAGAAGAGCATGCCGGGAATGAGGAGACTAGAGCACGCTAGGAGCAATGTGCTTAAAGCAAGGCATGCTGGGAGTAATCTTTACCTTGGGTGCTCTCCTAGAAAGAGGCTAGAAGCAGCTATGTAACCTTTAGAGCAGAGCATGCTGGGACACTTTTCCCTCAAGGCATGCTGGGAGGAATCTCTGCTGGGGAGACGGGGCCAGGCGAACACAATGGAGATGACTTTAACAGCAGGACTGGAGAACTCTTCTGGGAAACGGGCCCAGGGGGTGCCAAGAACCCCAGGCTTGGAGCAGCGCATGCTGGGAGAACAGGCCCAGTGGGCGGGCCATGCCGAGTGCGCAGGCGGGAGGCTGGTACCTGTCCTTGCCCGTCTCACCCCGGAAGAGGTCGTCGAACTGGTGCATGCGGGCGGGAGAGACGGCGTAGGCCTCCAAGTGCGGGAACGCCAGGCCTGCCCGCTGGATGACGCGCAGCAGGCTGCCCTGCGGCTTCTGCATCTTAATCGGGGGACCCCAGAAGATGAACACGGTTTCGGGGGTCCGGTTGACAAACTCCTGGGGTCTCCGCAGCACCCGGAACACGCTGGAGTGGGCTACCACGCGGAAGGTGGTTTTGTTGCCCACATCGGCCGCGTAGCCCGTGGTGGGCGCGTCGTTCATGCGGATCGTGCACTCTGCCCGCTCAATCTCAGGCCCCAGTTTGGTGCCCAGCAGATGGCTGGAGCTGGTGACAATCACACACTGGTGGCACCGGGAGGGTAGTGTCTGGGGGGAGGAAGACAAGTCAACACCATCACAGCCACTCTGCACCCAGTCCTGCGCCCTGTAGAACAGGCCTCCAGCAGCCACAGATCAGTGCGCCCATTGTAAAGACTGTGAAACCAAGGCTGTTCTGCCCACATTCTGCAGATATTTATAACAAGCTGAGTAATGGCCGAGTACTGAGGATAGAGACACCAGCTTCTGCTCTCAAGAATCTTACATTCTGCCAGACAGTGGTGGCGCATGCCTGTAATCTGAGCATTCACAAAGCCGAGGCAGGAGGATTACCAGAAATTCTAGGCCTAGTGCAAAGCCAGCCTGAAACTCAGTGAGACTGTGTCTCAAAAAACCAAAAAAAGGGCTGGGGATGTAGCTCAGCGGCACAGCACCTGCCTGGCAAGCACAAGGTCCTGAGTTTGACTTTCAATCCCCTGTACAAAAACCAAAAACACCTTACAGTCAGGCCAGGTGTCTTGGTGTATGTCTGTAATCTCAGCATTCTGGAAGGCTGAGGCAGGATGCTTAAAGTTTGAGCCCAGCCTGGGCAACTTAGTGACTTAGTGAGACCCTGTCTCAAGATAAAAAAATTTAAAAAGCCACGTGTGGTGGCGCACACCTGTAATCCCAGCACTTGGGAGGCTGAGGCAGGAGGATCGCTGTGAGTTCGAGACCAGCCTGGGTTACACAGTTCCAGGGCAGTGTGAACTAGATAGTGAGACCCTGTCTCAAAAAACCAAAATAAAATAAAATACAAAATATAAAAGGGCTGTGGATGTAGCTCAATGTAAAGACTTTGGGTTCAAACCCCAGTACCATGAAAAAAAAATAGAATCGTCAGTTGAGGAGCCAGACAGTGAACATCAGTAATACGTGCTAGGAAAAAACAAAACAAAATAACAGGGTCAAAGCAACTGGAGCAGGAATGCAGGTTTCTTTAGAAAGGTCATCGGAGAGGCCTCTCTGAGCGGAGACCAGGAGGGTGAGAAGCGGCCACACCCAGAAAGTGTTCAGGGCCGGAGGACCCAGCGGCACAAAGCTAAGTAGGAAGAGAGGTGGCACTGAGAACCAGAAGCCAGCAGCTGGGATGCAGGAATTAATCGTAGGAAGGACAGAGCCAGGGCTCTTGCTGGATGTGGAAAGGCCCTGGAAAATTTAGGGAGGATCAGTGAGCGGGAGAGAGGCACTGCCGGTTGAACTCCAGAAATACAGCCTGAATGTCATGGCTTGGTCCTGGGAATGACCTGACCCGCAAGTGAATCATCCAGAAGCCAGAACCAACTTTTGAGCAGGCCACCCTTTGCAGGGGTTAGGGAAGTCCTCTGACTGCTCCTCTCTTGCGCTGTGTGGCCTTGGGCAAATGGCTTCCCCTCTCTGAGCCTCGGTTACCCCATCTCCTCACAGGAGGAAGTAGTGCTGGCCTCCCAGGATTCGCCTGAGGATCGCTGGTCATCGGCACACAGCAGGCAGCTACCATCACTGCGTGGCTTGTCCAGCCCCTCAGTGTCCTGTTTCCAAACCCGCATGGACTCCCTAGGGATCCGTGGAAGTCAGAGATACAGGTCCAAAGGAGTTCGGACTGGGACAGGAGTACTGAGGGTGGGGCCTGGAGAGACCTGAGGACCAGAGAGGGACAGGACACTAGTCTAAGGTCACAGCAAGCAAGATGCTCAAGTTACCAGAGGCCTTGACTCCTGGGCATCACCCTTTCCTTTTTTGGTGTGTTGTTTTGTTGAGACAGGGTGTCACTGTGTAGCTCAGGCTGGCCTGGAACTCACGGTGATCCTCCTGCCTCAGCCTCCTGAGTGCTGGGATCACAAACATAATCCCTTTCCTTTTGGAGGGAGGGTGAAGAGGGAAGAGGAGGAGCAGGACACAGTGGGTGAGCAATGGGGGGAGGAAATCAGCCACCAGCGGCTCCCGGGGAGCCCCCAAAGCGTCCGTCGCTACCTTGTTGCCCAGAATGGGGACAAAGCCGTCAGTGAGGCTCCACTTCTTGAGGTCGGGCCGGTGCCCGCGGCCCCGCAGGGAGCCATAATGGAAGACCTCATTGGCACTGTTGGAGCTGTAGAGGATGAGGATGGTGATGAGGGCAAAGAGGATCACGAACACTGCTGACCGCTGCTCCTGGAGAGGGGAGAGGCTGTGAGGGCCCAGGCACCCACCAGGCTCCACTGTACCCACGGCCTCTTGCTCCACGCTCCATGCCAGCCCTCTGGCTTCCCCAGCACAGCACTGACCACAGAGCACCCACACTGCCAGCCCCCCAATCCCAGCAGGGGCTCTGAGGACTGGGACTGGGCCAGCCTTGTACCCCAAATCCCAGGGATACACACGCCTGTAATCCTAGCGCTCAGGAAGCTGAGGCAGGAGGATCGCCCCAAGTTTGAGACCAGCCTGGGCTACATCGTGACTTCAAGACCACCCTGGACTACATAGTAGGCCTTGAGACCTTGTCTCAAAGAACCAAGAAAGAGAAAACAAAAAAGAGGGTTCTGGGGAGGGACTGCCCAACTGGACTGGATGTGTGCCTCAGGATTCCCTCCAGCTACAGCTAAACAGATACCCAGAGACACGTGAGGTGTGTCGGTGAGGGGCCAGGTCTTCCCTGGGAAGTTGTCAGCATACATTCGGTCCTCTGCGCTTGCCAGGGCCTTCCCTCTGAGCGATATCCCCATCTCTGATTATTTTGTATTTGGAGACAGGGTCTCACTGAGTTTCCCAGGCTGGCTTGAACTTGCAATCCCCTTGTTTCAGCCTCCCAGAGTCCTGGGATTACAGGCCATACCTGTAGGTTCCGCATTAACAATTCAAACAACCATGGCCCAATAAGGGTACACATAACCTGCAATGGTTGTACCTCTACTGAACACACATAGGCTTTTTTCCTGTCGTTATCCCCTAGATAAAACAGTGCAACAGCTATTTACATAGCATCGACCTTGTATTAGGTACATAAATCACCTAGAAGTTGGGTGTTGTGGCACATGCCTGTAATCCCAGCTACTTGGGGGCTGAGGCAGGAGGATTTCAAGTGTAAGCCCACCCTGGACAACGTAGTGAGATTCTTCAAAATTAAAAATAAGAAGGGCTGGGGATGTAGCTCAGTGGCAGAGTGCTTGCCTAGGGGTGTGTCATACCCTGGGTTCAACTCCAGTAACACAAAGGGAGAAAAAAAGAGTAGAAAAAAAGAAAGTGCTAATAAAATGGGGAAAAAGTAATCTAAAGGTGACAATGCCCTGCAGAGACCAAGGGAGGACTGCACTTTCTCTCAGTCCCAAACTCACCTATTTTGCCTGCTCTGTGAAAATTAATCTGGGCCTTTTAAATATCTGCCCTGGCTAGCCAGCTGCATATTCAGCCTTGTCGGTAGAGGGCGCTGAAGAGACAGCGCGGGAGTAAAAGCCTTAGCGTCCGGGCTGCAGTGAACTTGCTTGGAGGCGCAGTGCCCACAGCTTCTTCAGCTCCTGCAGCAGTCACCTGCCCTTAGCACCCAGAGGCCTACACCTTCCCCTCCCCAGAGCCCTTGGCACGGGAGCCAGTGGGCTGTCGCTGTGCCCTTAGGCGTGGCGCTCCTTGATTCACAGTCTGGCTATGACTGATAAGCCCACCCCAATGGGAAATATCCTACAGAGTAAATGCATATCATGGCGCTAGCTGCCCACACCTACTTGCTTAGCAATGGTCTCTCTGTAGGGTGGTTTCCTCCCGTGTTCGTGGGAGATGGTGGCCACTATCACCAGTGCCGGCAACAAGACCCAACTTCAGATTGAGAGGACGGTTTCTATGGAATGCAAAGCACTTCTTCGCCATCGAAAGTCAAAAGGGAGAAAGGGCCGGGGTTTTAGCTCAGTGGTTCCGCTGCCTGCCTCCTAATGACTGGAGTTGGATCACCAGTGCAAAAAAAAAAAAAAAAAAAAGTGTGAAAAAAAATTTTAAATCAAAAGTGTGGTGGCTCACACCTGTAATCCCAGCACTCTGAGAGCCAAAGCAAGAGCGTCCCAAGCTCAAGCCCAGCCTGAACAACCCTAATGACTTAATGAGACCCATCTCAAAGTGAAGAGAAGAACAAAATCAAAAGGGCTGGGAATATAGCTCAGGGCCAAGCCCCTGGGTTCAGTACCCAGTACCACAACGTAATAATAATAATGGCAATAATCATAAGAGCAACAACAATAATAAAAGAAACCCCAAAGTCCTACATCAAATTGTAAGTCAGGGACTGCCTGAATTCCTTTGGGTTCCAAGGCTTTAACTTTTCCTGTTTAATATACATCAGTCTCTCTCCCAACACTGAGGTTGATACAGCCCCAAACACCTCCAGACCCGTGTCACTGAAGGCTGTGACCCACCCCAGGGAAGCGGTGTGCAGGGCCAGGCACAGAGGGGCCTGAGGAAAGCACCAGTGAGGGACTCCAGGACCGAAGGGGGCGCTGACTTCTTGGGGTGACTGGCACATTGCATCACCTTTGACTCTGACCACTTACTTTGCTGCTACTCATCTCTCGTTGGCGTCTCCTGAGGGGAAGGGGCCAGCGTCCTGCAAGTGGCCCAGGGGGCAGGGATGCGGGGTCACACCTGCAAGCCACCAGAAAGGGTTATGACCTGGTGCCCTCCCTCTGTGGTCCTGTTGGTCAAAGGCTCCTGATCTGTACCCGGTCAGCTCTTTCGCACACCCAGAACTGTAAGGCTCAGGATCACATCCACTTTACAGATAGAGACCCGGAGGCCCAGAGAGGCAAGGAGCCTGCCTGAGGCCAAACAGCCTGGTGACAGCACTCCCCCAGCAGCCACAGAATCAAGCAGCATTCCTCAGAGGCCCACAGACTTCTCTGCTGTCCTCCTCCCCTATCCGGGTTGCACCCCTCTGTCTGGAATGCCCTCCTTCCACACCTGCCTGACTCCCAGGAACTTCCAGGATCCTATATCCGCTCAGGCCAGTGCCCTCTACGGGCAGCGCCCCTCACTGACCTTCCCCCTGGGTCCCCACAGCCACCACGGAGCTTGAACAAGTCCATCCCCCAACAAGTAAGTGGCGAGGTCAATGCCCAGCCTCCAAAAGGGGCAGATCTGGACTCCGCCCACCCTTCACAAAGCCTCCTTCCTGCCCCCAGGTCCCTCCTGGAACCCCGCCCTTCCCGAATTTTCCTCCCCACCAGTAACCAGGCACCAGCAGTTGCGTCCAGCAGCCTCCATCAGGCACAGGTCAGAGGGCAGAAGGGGACGGCGCACACCAGAAGAAACTGGGGCGGGGGCTCCCCGCCTGTCCCCTCCTCCCAGGCCGCCCGGCTCTGACCAATGCCTCCTCCCCCTTGACCCAGCGGCTGTTTACTCCTACATGGTTCACCAGGAACAGCGGACAGCCTGGGGACACACACACACACACACACACACACACACACACACACACGGTCCCGATTGGCCAGCCCTGGCCCCCGCCCTCCCGCGGGCTCCCCTCTCTTCCAGGCAGGTTTCAGGTGTCCCTAGGGCCGGCCCCTCACAGCCAGCTAGGGAGACCCCGGCTCCTAACCGTCCCAGCTGCACAGATTGGGAAACTGAGGCTGTCGGAACCAGCGAGCGGCCTGTCCTGGCACTCAGCACAGACAGGAGTGCAGAGTCCCGGGGTGGCCCCGCGGGCCCCGCTCCGGACACCTAGAGCCCGGGTCCCAGGCCCACCGCGACTTTCCCACCTGTGCCTGAGCAGCAGTGCCCGCAGCTGGGCCCACCGTCCCCCTGGTCACGGTCCTGCTCTGGGAAAGCCGTGTAAGTACAGCACATCAGGTCCCACCGCCAACCTGGGTTGCACCACTTACTGGCTGGGGGGCCTCGAGCAAGCCATGTGACCTCTCTGAGCCTCAGTTTCCTCATCTGCGAAATCGGAACGAGAAGAGGAAGCGGCTCAGGGTCGTGGACGAATTCGAGCGGACGTGGCCTAGGGTGCCGGGCAGGGACGTGCTTCACCGCGCCAGCGGCGCCCCTTCCCGTGGTCACGCTCCAGACCCAGCGGCTTCCTCGATGATGAGCCCCAAACCTGCGACCTCCTCCGCTCCGAACCCCAGCCCTGCGGCTCTCTCCTAACTGCAGGAAGCGGCTGAGCCGCGCACGCCGAGCATGCCCACGGCCCGAGTGCCCCGGTGACGCCAGGCAGCCCTGACCCCATTTCAAAGAGGAGGAGACTGAGGTTCGGGGAGGCCGGAGACCGGCGGGTGGGGAGCCTGTGACGGGCTTGCTAAGGGGCTGAGCCTCAGCGCCTCCTTGGGGGCTCCCTCAGACCAGCCGACCCGGGGACCCCAGAAGCCTGTGGGTGG